TCCCATGACCCTGAGATCATGACCTGAGCCAAAATCAAGAGTCAGACACTTAACTGATGGAGCCATCCAGTCACCCCCTCAGTGACACTGTTTTAACTCGGTTAGGATAACTCCCTCTTACTTGTCCACCTTCCTCTTGGAAATTAACCTGGAATGTGATACTTTGTCACACTGCCCATCACTGACCAAATAAATTATTTCATCAACTTTGTAAAATGGTCATCTTCTGACTCTTTGAACACATAGCAGCCTTTATTTTTCTGTAAAACTCTGTAAAGGCATCATACCTTGTGTTATATTTTTCATTTGAAAAGCATAATTAAAGTAAAAGGAAGTATAAACTACAAACAAGGCTGATTTCAAAGTTAATAAGCTAGTGAAAAAGTTTCTTTTGAAGGAGATTTTCCTTTTAAGGAAGATCAGAGGCACTCTTTAAATTATTAAAGGGAAGCTGGCCGAATTCTTTACCTCACTTGGTTTGAGAAACTAGTCATTTTTATGTTTAAATTTTAGTTTATTTCTTTAAGATTTATTTATTTACTTGAGAGACAGCGGGGTAGAGGCAGGAGGAAAGGGAGAGAAAGTCTTAAGCAGACTCCACAATGAGCATGGAGCCCATATGGGGTTCAATCTCACAACCCTGAAATCATGACCTAAGCCGAAACCAAGAGTTGGAGGCTTAACCAACTGCACCACCCAGGTACCCCAATTTTAGTTTTTATTAATTAAGACATTTTAGAGTCTATAAATCCTCAGTTTCAAGTTTTATGTCTTCCTTACTCTGTGCTTTATGCTGCAAAATTTAAGGTTTGAAATGGTTCCTTGGGAGCTTTTTTAACATACTCTTTGCTCTCCTTTTTTTTTTTTTTTTTTTTTTTTGCTTCCTTCCCTTCCCTTCCCTTCCCTTCCCTTTCCTTCACTTCCCTTCCTTCCCTCTCCCTCCCTCCTTCCTTCCCTTCACTCCTTTTCTTTTCCTTTCCTTTCCTAGTTCATTCATTTGTTCTCTCTCTCTCTCTCTCTCTCTCTCTCTCTCAGAGATGTGCTTTGGAATATGTTTAGGCTAAAGAATAAAATTCCTTTTGTCATTTTAATGGAACTCTTAGATTATTGCTAAGCAGCAAGTTTCATAGACACATGGCAAGAAAGTGGTCAGGTTTTATCATAGTTTCCTATACAGTTCTCTCAGTTCTTCATTTTTAAACTTCAGGCCTATTTTAATATAACAGCAGAGAGATAAATGCAATAAAGCAGCTATTTAGACAAGGTGATGGAGAAAGAAGAGAAAGATTCGACATTTGTATACAAAAGTGGCCAGAGATGACCTCACACTGATGCTGGACTAAATGAGATTTTGGATTTGTCTCCTTCCTTTTCCCACATTCAGAAGCTGCTTTAGAGTTAGATTTTTAGATTGTTATCACTGAAGTCCCACTTAACCTTCAACTGGCCTGCTACCTTATCTCTGACAGTGACCCAACTTGAAAAATAACTCACTGTCCATTGTCTAGCATATCATTCAACAATTAACTCTGTGCCATTGTGGACTCCATGCTGAGCATTGGCAATTTGGAGAGCTCCATCTGGAAGAGGCAGGACTCTGTGCAACTGAAATCCTCATGGGGTAGAGAAACAGCACATGAGTGAACAGACGGGATAATTTCCAATAGTCATGATTTTTTAAAAAGATTTTATTTATTTATTTATTTGACACAGAGAGAAAGAGAGATCACAAGTAGGCAAAGAGGCAGGTAAAGGGGAAGGGGTAGGCAGGCTCCCTGCTGAGCAGAAAGCCCGATGCGGGTCTCAGTTCCAGGACCCTGGGATCATGATCTAAGCCAAAGGCAGAGGCCTAACCCACTGAGCCACACGGGCAACCCCAGTAGTGATGATTTTTTAAAGACAATACAACAGGATGACTTGATGAAGGAGAGTGAGGAGTTATATTACAGACAGTGACCAGGAAAGGCCTCCCTATGCAAGAATTGAGTAAGAAATCACCCAGGCATCTGGCAAGGTATGGGCAACTACAAGTGCAAAGGTCCTGAGGTAGAAATGAATTTGGCATGTTGGGGTGGCACAAAAGGAGGACAGTGTGATTAGAGCATAATAAACAAGGACTAGAGTGGCAGGATGAGATCTGAGAAGTAAGCAGGGTTCTGATCATGTAGGACCTTGTTGGCCAGGCTAAGAGCTTTGGAATTTGTTCTGACTGCCAAGAGAAGGCATTAGCATTTTTAATATTGGTGATGTCATATGGGGTTTATATTTAATTTTTTAAAGATTTATTTATTTGAGAAAGAGAGAGCATGAGCAGGGAGCGGGGAAGAGAGAAAGAATCTCAAGCAGACTCCCCACCGAGTGGGGAGCTGAAGCAGGGCTGGATCCCTTGACCCTGAGATCATGATCTGAGATGAAATCGAGAGTTGATTGCTCAACCAACTGAGCTACCCAGGAGCCTGTGATTTATGTTTTTAGAAAGATCATTCTGGTGTTATGTAGCAAACAGACTGGAGGTAAGACAAAGTGGAGAAAAATTAGGAGCTGTTGTAGTCTCTGAACTTAGATATAAACAGCTTCAATTTCAATTTTAGATAGTTCCATTCTGTTCTCAATATTCTCTCATTTTCTTCTCAGACATGGAGAAGAACAGTTTTTGTTCTTTGTAAAATAAAAATTTTGATATTTGAGGATCTCAGAAAGTGTGATGAGAGAGTGTGATGAATAAGAGAGAAAACAGATTTAGTTTAACTGCTTGTAATATGCCTGATTCAGTGAGACAAAATACCTTTTGTTCATTCAATCAATACAGAGTGTCTTCTCTGTGCCAAGCAGTATTCTCAGTGTCACCAAAAGATCCAGATGCCTCATGCCCTATTTAATTATTTTATGAATTGTAATTCTAGTTAATAAACAAACAAAAAACTTCCCTGGACAAAAAAGTATGTTTAACAGTTCAAAGTCACCTCTTGTGTATCCCTAATCTTTATGTTCTCTACCATTTTGTCTTCTGAGCGATTCCTAATTCTGTCTTCAAATCCCAGTTCCTCTTGCTCCTGTTTTTCCTCAAAAGAAGTGATTCAGAGTAGGAAAATATTTTTTAAATCTCTAAACCACTCCACAAATCTAAGTATTGATTAGTAGTAGTAACTTTTAGACTGGTTTTCAGATCTTTATTTATGACAATTGTAAAAATGAATCCTAGAACCTTAAAATGTTCTTAAAGCACTAATGCCCCATGTCATCATTCTGTCCCCCACTCCTTCACCCTCTGCCTCACACCCCTCCAACAGGGTTGAGACTTGGGTGACAAGTCACACAAAACTAAATAATACATGTGCAGAAGCAGATCCTATATTTATTTTAAAATTATGCTGTGTTCAATATGGATTATTTTGCACTAATTTTGATCTTTTAAAATGTTGCATTAAAATATTATAATATTTTTAATATTATATTTTAATTTATTATTTTATATAATTATGTTATTTATACATTTATATACTTGCATAAGTATATAAATATATAAATGTAAATAACATAATTTAATTTAATAGTAATAAAATAAAATATATTTAAAATATAATATTTTTGATGCCTCCTTAAATTTTGCAATTGAGACAATTTCCTCTCTCATCTCACCCTAGCCCTTGTCCTCGTTCCTTGAAAATACATCCCCTTTCCCTACAGCCTCTTGTAATCCACGTCCAGCCCTAGTCATATCAGTGTGTTTTGAAAAGGTATGTGCATCTGATATAATCCGAGGTTTCGACATGCTGCAGAAAAGGAGGAAAGCTCTAATGACGTCAATTTTAGAGGTAAACTTTAGATTGATATTGACTCTCCAGAAGGTTTTCCAGCTCTCTTTCAATAAGTAGTTCTAAGAAAAGTGTGGTGGTATAGAAGTTTTCAAATGACGTAGGAAACTTTAAAGCTAATTACACTTTTTTCCTTGCCCTTTTCACCTCCCTTAAAGAAGAGCAGGGTAGAGGGTAGATAGAACAGAGGCAGGGAGAAACAAAGACATTGGACAGTTTGAAGGTATCTCTCAGATTACAGTTTGCAATGTTTGCTTGGAGGTTTGGGTTCATGGCTCACAGACTCATGTTGTATTAAAGCCTGGCCAGCAGCATGAGTCTTCATGATTCAAGATTAGTTGCACATTTATAGCTTCTAGAGCACCCAATGTAGTGCAGTTGAAAGGATAACTTCAATCTGTCTTCAGTGAGATCTGGGTTCCTGGTCACTTTGTTTCCTCAGATTAAGAACCAAGACAGTCTAACCCTTTTAGTTTTTGGTATAGAGCATTAAAATTGAGTCACACTGTCTGGGTTCAAAAACCTGGTTCTTCCCTTGGTTCCTGTGTGGATTTTGGCCTCTGTCTAATCTCCATTTCTTCATTTATAAAGTGATGGTAGCAATTCCTCCATTAACATGTGCCCATGTCTGTGAAATGATACGATATCTGGAAGGGCTGGTGTGACCTAATATGATAGGTATTCAATAACTCTGTGGTCATGAATCTGCCTAAACTATGTCAAGAGTTGTTTGCACATTTATAATTGATTTTTGTAAGGTGAGGGATCAAAGTGAGCATATTTTACTTGCCTGTTAGTTATTAGTTATATACAATATCAAAGACCTTGTACTGCTTCCTATCTCAGAGATAACATGTATAGAATATCAATATTGGGGATAATGCATACATAAAACAACTAGCAGAGTAGAATATCTTAGGGATTCAAGACATGAAAATTTAAATATGAAAATGGATTTAACAACTCAATTTTCTCATTCAGTTGCAACCTCAGCCTCAAATAAATGGCATGTTTAAGATTCATTGCAAAGCTCTACATTCTAATTAGTAGAATGTAGGCCATTCAATTAATTATTCCAGAAGAAATACTATTTTAAAAGAAAACACAGCTAAATTAAAAAAAAATTCTTTTCACTCTTTGTGATTAAAGTTTGAAATGTTTTTATCTTTTATCTTTTATCTTGAGGTACTAAATCAAACTTCTCGACTTGAAATACAACTGCTAGAGAATTCATTATCAACATACAAGCTAGAGAAGCAGCTTCTTCAACAGACAAATGAAATCCTAAAGATTCATGAGAAAAACAGGTGAGGCTTGTCGTATTCCAATTATTTACATATGTACTTATTTTTATCACTCACCTCTCTGTCAGCTCTTAAAATATTGAAGTGGTTCGTAAAAAAAAAAAAAAAAGGAACTATAGAGACAATTTAATATGATACAAATAATACAATTGCTTACACTCTTGAAGTATATAGTATATGCTCTTTAAAAAACTTTTAACACTAATTTATCTAATATTTAGTTGTTCGAATCCCACCATATCTATAAGAATTGATTCTGAGAATAAATTCAGTGACACAAAATATTGACATATTGACATATTGCTATAGAATGACATCTATAGCAATAAAGAAAAAAATAATCTCTGAAACTCTGTAACTGGAATTGTCACTCTATCTGCCCTTAAGCTTCTACAGAGCTACGAGATTGTTGTATTCAAAGATCTTGCACCAGAGAAACAAATTTTATTTTTCCCAGAAAATTAATTACCTGTAAAGCTGATTCAGGAGTTGCTCACCAACCCCTTTCCCACATTTAAAGACGTTTACTCTGGATAATATAAATTTCTTTGTTTAGTTTTATGGATGTGTTTTATAAACTATGAATCATCTCAGGTAAGTGAAGTGGGACTTAGAGATCTTGAGATGATATATGGACTATATCATTTTGAAGTCTTGACATTCATGATGGCCAATTCAGTCAAAGCACTGGCCTCTGTAGGAGAAATGTATTGCTTATTAACTGACCCCTGGCCATTGGGATGGCTTGAAGCAGTTCCATTTCTTATACATTATATGGATTTAAAGAGCATTGTGTTGCTAGAAACTAGTTAAATACCTTATGTCATTGGAACTGGAGTTTCCACCATATTCCAAACCAGGAAGGCACAAAGAGGACTTCTAGTGCTCTTTATAAATGGGGACAGACTCGGTAGAAGTGAGTGATTTGTCCCAGGTCACACAGCTTGCTAGTGGTACAACTGGGAATATAACCCAGGCTTCCTTCATCCTAGTCTTGCTCTTTGCACTGTAGCACATCATCTCTCAATACTACTATCTGTAACCTAAAAGGATTCCCCAACTTTACACTAAAAGTGGCCCTTAATGACAGCAATTATAATGAAGCTTTTCCATGAAGAAGATAAACCTGGCTGTTGATTTAGAGTCTGAAAGGGGTCATGCATGCTCTATGAGTTGTATTTCTAAGTTTTACATTTATTTATCTTTGTACTGTGTCATGGGGTAAACTGTATAACTATAAATAAACTTGACAGGACTTGACCCTGAACTGGTTGCATAACGAAATGTTTTGGAATTGAAAATCCTGCTGAAAAGTACCATTTATCCTACTGCTGTTTCACAGTAACCAGACATATACATGGAGCAGGTATACTTTACATCAACCATCCCTTGGTTTTCGGATCCCACCATGCTTTAACACTGGTGCTAAAAGTGAACCCCTTTACAGTTATATATTTCAAGATGCTATTGTGAAAGCCCTGTCAAGGAATAAATAAGTAAAATATTGCCAACTTTGCCTTATTTTTTAGATTGTTTGTTTTCATAATTACCTAAATAACACACACTTATTGGAGAAAAAGGAGAAAGTAACAAAATTAAACTAAAAATCACAATCCCGTCACATTAAGAAAGCTGCAGGTGTCATTGTGTATTATATATAAATATATTTTTTATGGAAGCTGTGTCATGCTATCCAAACTGTTCTACAGCCTGCCTTCTTAGGAAATAGATATCATTTCTCACGAATAAATACCCTTCTAATATCGTTCTGAATAACTGCGTGGTATTTCATTTTAAGGTATAACCTAGAATGGTTTCAGTCTCTAAGTATGTTACCACATATGATTTATCTTTTAAAAAGTTGTCAGCATGAATCTACATTCTTCAGTTCTTCCCCTGCTGATATGTGTATTATCTCTTGGTCCACATCTGACACTTGAGCTGTCAGGATATCATAAAAAACCTGGGAGGACTGAAAGGTCTCACTCTTAACTACAAAAACAAATGCTGTCCTTAAGCGTCACTTGTACTCAGCTCGCTCTCTCTCGCTCTCTCTCTTTCCCGCCATGTCTGTCTTTCTTTCTCTTTGCCTCCTTCCTTGTCATATTCATTCTTTCTTTTATTTTCTTTCTTCCTTCTCTTTCTGTTTTTTTTTTAATATATCCCCTCTACCTTATTTTGTGATCATTTTGGTTTTTTTGGTTTTCCATCATAATTCTTGATATGACACCTAGTACCATTTCTACTATGGAATTCTCACCATGAAATTGTTTGTTTGTTTAAGGGAAACTCTTAAAAGCTGCTCTCTCTGTTCCATCGGTAAAGCTGAGCGAAGGTTCACACCCTCAAAAGAGCTCTGTCAAGCAGGTCAAGTAGAGAAGGCTTCTCCGTGTGCCATGGCCATTCAGAGGCGTCTCATTTCTAATCCCAGCACATACATGCCTCCTGCTGATGAATTTTTTTCCCTTTATTAAGTTCTAATTTCTAAGGAAAATTCAGGTCTCTGTGTATACAAGTCACGATGCTTATTGCTAGTGGTAATTTTTTCAGAGTTCTAACAATTCCCTTTGCCAGAAACATAGGTATTTTACAAAGACTTCAGGGATTTATGTTTCAACTTGAAATTTATCTCTGTGCTTACACTGACAAAAACTTACACGCATCTTTCACTTGTCCTCTACACTTCTTTCTTTTTTGATGCTCAAGTGTAGCATTACTTCAACAGTGGTTTCTGGGGGTATTTTTCGATCAACATGCTGTATCTGCTGACATCTCTGTATCTCTGTAGTTATCTGTGTCTTCCTGTGGAAGGGTCTGATGTGTTTAATGAAGTGTTGGTGGAACATTTATTCTTTAACAAGGCATATTCTTCTATGAACCACTTAGAAAAAAGTGTTTTACTTTATAAAAAAAAAATAAGAATATCATTTTGTGATGTACAGCATACTTACCCTACTCTTTATTGTTATTGTTTACTTCCATATATGAAATGGAATTCAGGAACTCTGCCAAGCACTTTCTAGAGCAACAAAGAAATCCACCCCCACCCCCCACCCAATAGCATTTAAGTGGATAGAAAGTCAAAGTCAAACACCAAACTGTTTATATATATTTTTAAAGAAGTGTATTGATTATCCCTACCTGTTCCTTAAATGAACCTTAATCCTCCAAATGTAGCAAGAAGCTATTTCTACATTTAGGCATCTCTGAAATGTAGGAACAACATGCCTTTAGTTGGCCAGGTCTGGTTTGGATCAGCTAATACACTTTGCAAAGGGGATTATCTAAATTAAGCTTTGCTTCCTCCCCATGGAATGTCAGGGGTTGTGTCTGGGTGTGTGACTTACCAGCTTTGAGTATGATGGGGCCTCAGCTGCCAAGTCAGTGAGCTGGCCCTTAGGAGGGTCCACCACTTCTTTGGCAGAACAAGGAGGAATATTTTATAGACAGGATTATACTACACAATCATGCTGAGAGATCCTGCTGATTTACATCCTGACAAATTAAATGCATCACTTGCAGGGTTGAAAAAGGATTTTGGGCCTCATTAGATTCACCTCTTTATCCCCTAAATGGCCAAAGGCACAAAGCAAGAATAGGATTAGCAACATTTACTCTACTGTTTGTTTTCCTAATAATCCAGTGGGGGGTGACTCCAAGAAGCTTCCAGTTTGCTTTCTTTAGGAAATGTTTTTTGTTCTTTTTTTTCTTTTGTTGGATACTATCCTAATGTCAAAATGGTTTCATTCTTATCTCAAGGAAGAGCATTTGGAAGTATAAGATCAGTATTTGGCCCACGTAATTGAAATTATCAACCAAGATCCCAAGAAATGGGAAGTATTAATATTTACCTTGCACATAGACACTTGGATCACAAAGTGGAACATGTAATTGTCAACTTTTATTAGATTCTTTGAGTATGTTTCCTGCCAGGTCAGCTCAAGACAATAGAAAAAAGGAGAGGGACAGGGAAAGATGTTATAATGCAAATCCCTTGAGTTGAATCTTTTCATCTAAAAGTTTGGTGAACTGATCAAGGCACCTGCCCATCTCTGACTTAACCCCAGCATTTCCCAAGGTGGGGGCACAGCTGGGTGAAAAAATACTCCAGAAGAAATTCTTCTGCCTCAACAGGGTATACAGGAAGGGAAGTGAGCATCTTACATATACAAAGATGGAACACTCGGGATTTCCTGATACTTGGGTTGAATATGTCGCGTGAAGATTAGGGAAATTTTCAGTAAGGCCATTCAGAGGGAAGTGAAACTACATATGTGATGGCCACTTCAATGTAGTTTTATCAAAACTGTCTGCTACCTGCCTACCTAATATCAGGTAAACACGTGTGCCAGGTGCCTTGCATACATTACTGCTAATCCTCCAGCCAATCCTGCAGAGTATCTATTCTTATTCCTATTTCATGTATAAAGAAAATGAAATTCACGAAGTTCGGGTTTACTCGTCCATGACTAAAAAGCTAGTTTATGGCAAAATTAGGGTTCAAGTCCATAATGATTCTCTGTCTTAATTATTATAAAAATATTTTTCCAGTGTGATGTAGCCTCAAGATTAATTGATGTGGCTGTCAAGTTATCCTCTTAACACAAACAAACAGAAGTTTGAAGAAAGGGGTCGGCCAGTTGTTTTTGGCCTGTTCCTATATAGATCATTATTTATTCCTGCTAATACTGGGGTAGGAAATATAAACTATTTATTTTACCTTGGGAATTCACTGAGGTTTTTTGACAAGCCTCATCTATCTTCTAGCTGGAGTTTATGGGAAGTTATTAAGTTAATTAATTTTAACTGATCAAAATTTGTATAATTTCAAGATACTAAATTATACCTTACAAACAAATTATTATAATGGTAACATAGAAATATTGATTTTTAATACTTAAGATGCCTAAAGAAATGAAAAGTTAAGTCACAGTCATTAAATTAAATTTCTTTTCCACTTGAAAAGTTCTTTACAAAATACTAAAGTGAAATCCTGCTACCTG